CCCGCTTCCTCCTATAAAAACAACAACTGGGAAACTAATAATAATACAAATAAGAAAGTCTACCGTATTATGTTGAACATGACATCGTTTATTCACACTCTACAGTCATACTTCTCACATTTTCCACTTCACGAAACGTGTAAGTTCACAGCATTGAGTTGATAGCACACTCGACAAAGATCACGACGCAATAGAAAATGAAGTGACATCCACAGATGAAAATCGACACTCAAAGCAATATTAAACTAACTAGAAAGAAACCAAATGACGTCATAAATGTTAACCTGCTAAACATTTATTCAAAAGAATCTTCGCTGACGGCAACGCGTCGCTGAATTTTGAACTTCTTCACGTCCTTTGCTTGGCAGTCTACGATCTTGATTTTCCTCTTGGGGGTGAGACCATCGTCTTCAACGTCGATTTCTCCGATTTTCTCGAGGAATTCCTGAAAGGAGGATGAGAAGAGGGCACGTTGTTAGTTTGGTTTTTAATAAACGTAACGTCCCACTTGGCACAAAATGTACAGTTCAAAAAAGCAAGCATATATATTGATTAATAATCTGAGTACAGGGGACCTGATAAAGCATAATAGAAGAGCGAGCCGATGTGTTTAAGTAAAAATTGCACATGCGTATACTGTCATCTAAAACTGCTTCATGAGTGTCGTTCTTTTCAAGTGTGTCGTTCTTTGGCATTACAAATAAGACGATTTACTGGGTTTTTTAAACCACACCGTTCTTGGTGAAGTAGAAAATTGAAACCATTATTTTACAATGTGGGTCCATAGTCTAAACCAATTGGGCTACAAAATCTTTGATTAATGATAGGACACCAGCAACACCTGAATTCAGAAGAGGTATAAGGAGTTAAAGACAAGGTTCAATCTGTTTGTTGTTGTTTTAGAGAAATATAAAGTCCACCTTGTGTAACTTTCAAATATCACAGGTGATGAAAAGGGGCATCTCAGAGTTTATTTAGAACACCTTCGACAGAGTCTACACCATCTGGGGGAGGAGGGGGGTCCTTCAACTTGTTTATCTGGCATTTTATCTCTGAGGTAAAACCAGAGGTTTGATGTTTGTTTTGTTTGG